GGGGAGTGACATTTTAAAACTAGTGAATTCCATGTTAAGGCCATCGGGCTATAGGCTCCCGAGGTGGAATATGAGGTGCTGCTCCTCCAGTTTACAGGTGGCATCATTGTGACACTGGAGGCGGCCCAGGGAGTGGGAGATGGAGTTAAAATGGTTGGCGACTGGAAGGTGTTGTCACTTGTCACATACAGAACACAGATGCTCTAGAAACTGTCTCCAAGTCTACGCTTGGTCTCACTGGCGTAGAGGAGGCCACATCGGGAGCAGTGGATACAGTACACCAAGTTGACAGACGTGCAGGTGAACCACTGTCTGGTATGGAAGGTTTGTTTCGTGCCTTGAATGGAGGTGAGGAGGTAGGTGTAGGGGCAGGTGTAGCACTTCCTGCGGTTGCAGGGAAAGGAGTCGACTGTGGTGGGGTTAGCGGGGAGTGTGGAGAGGACGAGGGAGTCGCTGAGAGAGCAATCCCTGCGAAAAGTAGATAGGGGTGGGGAGGGAAATATCTCTTTGGTTTTAGGGTCGGAATGTAGGTAGAGGAAGTGGTGAAGAATGATACATTGGATGCAGGGGTTGGTGGGGTGATACATGAGGACCAGGGAGATTCTGTCTTTATTTTTGTTGGGGGAAAGGGGTGTGAGGGCAGAAATGCGGGGAATGCAAGAGATGCAGTTGACGGCATTTTTGATCACCAGAGGGAAAGTTACGGTCCTCGAAACAGGAGGACATCTGGGATGTGCGGGAGTGGAACGTCCCACCTTGGGAGCAGACGCAGCGGAGGTGGAGGAATTAGGAGGTTGGGTTTGCTTTCTTGCAGGAGGGTGGGTGAGAGGAGGTGGAGTCTAGGTAGCTGTGGGAGTCGGTGGGCTTGAAATAGATGTCGGTTTCGAGGCGGTCACCAGAGACGTAGACAGAGAGGTCCAGGAAGGAGAGGAGGTATTGGAAATGGTCCAGGTGAATTTGAGGTTGGGGTGAAAGGTGCTAATAAAGTTGATGAACTGTTCAAGCTCCTCGTGGGAGCATGAGGCAGCGCCAATACAGTCATTGATGTAGCAAAGGAAAATGTGGGGGATAGTACTGGTGTAACAGTGGAAAAGGGACTGTTCCACGTATCCTACAAAGGGGCAGGCATAGCTTGGGCCCAAACGGGTGGCCATGGCCATCCCCTTATCTATCTGCCTTCTAAATTACTTGCTGCACCTGCATGTTAACCTTTTATGTCTCATGCAGCAGAAAGGCCATATGCATCAGTGTTTCACTTTTTTGGGAGTCTGTTTAAATAATAGTCTGCCTTTTGATTCTTCCTACCAAAGTATACAATCTCACGTTAAACTCAACCTGACAAATTTTTGTCCACTCACTCAACCTATCTATATCCCCACGCAGATTCCTTATGTCCTCATCATAATATGTGCCCTGAGCTATTTTTGTATCAACAGCAAGTTTGGTTGCTTTACACTTGAAGTCATTAATATTGCAAGTAATCAAGGCCCTAGTACTCATCTTCACAGCATTCCACTAGTTATGTCTTTCCAACCGGAAAAAGATCCATTAATCCTGACTCTATATCTTCTGTGTTAATCAATTATCAATCCATGCTATTACATTACTCTTAATGCCCTTAGTTCCCATCTTGTGCAATAAGCTTTTATGTGGTACCTTATCAAATGTCTCCCTTTCACAAAACTTCTGTTTGATTGTGTTAAACTTTGAATGGATACTCTCCTTAACTGCCTTGGTTATTCTTGAGACTTTCTTTTCGACCGTTTGAAGTTCTTAAGGATCACTGGACCCAAAACTTTTATTCTGCTTTCTCTCCACAGATGCTGCCAGACCTGTGGGTTTTTCTACCAATTTCCGTTTTTATATCCCATGAGTCAGAACCAATCTGCAAACCACCCATTTACCTCCTTGAACTTATTTTTCCTGTGCTATTTTATTCGAGACTCAGGTAGTAACCCTGACAGTATTACCTCCGTGGTTCTGCTTTTCAATTTAGTCCCTAGCTGCTCGTAATGCCGGTCAGTTTAGCTCAGTTGGGAGGACGGCTGGTTTACAATTAAGAGCGACACTAACAGCATTACCACACCAGCTGAGGTTACAATGAAGGATTTTTCTTCTCAACATCTCCACTCACCTGAGGCACAGTGACCCTCAGGTTACACACCACGAGCTGCCTACGGTCTGGTAAGACTATGACAACTTTACTTTTACTAGAACATTCCCTCCTAGCTCTTCCCAATCATCTTCATCGATGTGGACTGCAATAACTTGATCCTTCTCATTACACTCCAAGTTCCTTTCCAGCCTTAAAGCAATGGCCTGAATGTTGGCACCAAGTAGGCAACAGGGCCTTCAGGGCACTTTATTCCTGTGCAGACAATAATATCTCTTCCCCAACGTGTGCTATCCCTATTACTATTACATTTCTCTTCTCTCTCCATCATCTGAATGATGCACTGTGCCACAGTGTGATCAGCTCATTCATCCTCACTGCAGTCTGTCCTCTTGTCCACACTGGTAGCAAGAACCTCACACCTATCAGACAAGGCCGAGACTACTCCAAAGCTAAACTCTGGATTCCTAGACCAGGCTCACTCAAAGTCATACCCTCCAGTTCCTGACCATGAACCAAATTTAATGTAATTAATCTAAGGGGTGCGACTGCCTCCTGAAGCATAGTCTCCAAGTACCTCCTTTTCCTTGATGTGGCACCATGTCTGCAGCTCAAGACCGTAACTCAACAACTCTGAGCCGAACCAGCCAACACTTACCACAGACATAGTCTCTGCGGATTGCACCAGTGTCCAAGAGCTCCCACATGCTTCAGCTGCAACACATCATGTGCCCACCATTTAATTCCATTTAATTAATGAATTTGAATATTAAACATTTTCAAATGTGAATTTCTTAAGTTTACTCTTTACTTGTAATAAATCACCTGATATAAACCACTTGGCCAACCAAAAGAGGCATGGAAGAAATATCCATCATTCACCTACTGTGATTTCCTGCTGTATTGCAGCTTTGACGGTAGAAACATACCGAAGGGGCTCTCTACCACCAATTTTTATTAAGCTCCTGCCCTAATCACGCAGTCTGCTCTTGTCTTTATGAAGCTACTGTTCCATCTCCCTTGCTCTATTTCAGAAACACAGGCTCCTCCTGTCTTCCCCTTGTTTGGTTCCTGATGGCTGTTTCCGAGTCCTCCTGTCTCACGAATGGGGTTCTGGATTGCTAGGCCAGTGATGTCTCACTATATCATAGCTTGCCTTAATAAGCATGTGCTGCCTTATACCTCAATAGATACAGGAAGCTTTTAAAAGAAATTGACTAGGAAGATGGACTTATTTTGAGCTGAGAGGGGAGTCCAGGATGAGGAAACATAACCTTAAAATAAAAGCTGGGTCAATCAGGAAACAAGATAGGCAAAAACAGAAGTTGCTGGAAAAGCTCAGCAGGTCTGGCAGCATCCATGAAGTAAAATCAGGGTTAGCGTTTCAGCTCTGTGTTCTGAGGAAGGGCCACTGGACCCGAAACATTAATCCTGATTTTTCTTCACGGATGCTGCCAGACCTGCTGAGCTTTCCCAGCAACTTCTGTTTTTGTTCCTGATTTACAGCATCCGCAGTTCTTTCGGTTTTTAACAAGATAGATAACACTGCTTCACAGGAAATGCTGAACACTGCCCCCAGTACAAAAATCAGTGGATAGGACCTCAGTTAATAATTTTAAATGAGACATTGATATATTTTTTGCTAGAAAGGCTTTTGGTTTAACTTTGTTCTGAAAGAATTTGTTATGAAAGAATAAAAGGGTGGGTGCATTGAGTCAATGCATAATCTCACCGAATGATGGGAACAGATTGAAGGAGATAAATCACTTCCTCCCCCTTTACATGCTCTTAATAGCTGCTCATTAACAAGTGTAATGAATTTGCAGCAAGTTCTCCACAAGAGGAAAGTTTGACACTTCACACAAAGAAGTGTTCTCTATCTTCTCTCCTGCATGACTAAGTTTTTATTTTAAGAGTAAGTCTCCTGGTTGTGGGCTTCCCTGTCAGTGCAAACAGGTTCTCTCCACCTGCTTGGCTAATTCTTTCAAAATCTTGAAAGCTCCTTGTATCTATAGACAGACATGAAAAGCAAAGCACACACTATGTCTGTTTCGGCAGTTTGTTTCTTCTGGAATACGTCGTCAGCTAATAAATGAGCTACAAAGATCAGGAAGGACCCAGGTTCAATCCATGCTCAGTGCTGCAATTATGGATGAAAAAAGGGAATAAGCTCCAGAGTAGGAGGATTTGGATAGGCTTTCAACTCCTGATTGCTATATGCTGAGCTTCACTGGAAAACAGAACCCTTCTGAGTAAGCAAGAAGTTACGATGCCTTCCGCAGTCACATTGTCCATCAACCTTCTCAGCTTTGGCTTAAAATGAGAAGTGGAGCCATTTGGGTGAGGGTTACTGAAAATCAACACAGCAATACAAAACAAGAGTAACTACATTCAGGAGAGGCCAGGGTAAATGCCTTACGATTACTGTGAGATGTCCATACATCTTAAGATTTTTCACAGAAAATGGTCTCGTCATCCCAACACAAATTATCCAAAACAGAAAGACGATGTGTGAATATTACTGATATAATCTCATATTTGTATCTTGGCAGCCACAGAAACACACAGAAACACAACTCTCCTGAGCATGCCACTCATGGCCTGATCTTATTGGTTTCAAGATCTTACAGGATGCCTGGTCTCCATTCGTTTTCTGAGCAATATCCACTTTCTCCTGCCGGCCTTTAGTCCCTGTAGCCTCTTCCATCTTGTAGATTTCGGATAGACACAGCTTGGGGTTGAAGTGAAAAAACATCTTGCCCTGGGAGATGGTCAGGTTGTGCTTCTTCCAATCCCACAGTTGCTGTAGGTTCTGATTGTCCAATACATAGAAGGAGTAATTCCTGGATGTCAAATTAAAAGGAAAAATCATGTTGAAAACCACCTTATATTCTCAATAAATTTCAAATGAAACTTAAATGTCTGAATGCATTAGAAATTTTAAAGAACTAATTTAAAATAATAAGAGGTAAATTGAAAATGAATACTGCTTTGCTGGCAGTTTAGCAAACTTGTATGTGCTGGAGGCAGCTACAGAAACCAGCAACGTCCCATTGTTTGACCTTCAACTTAACATCGTAAGAAATACGAGCAGATCTAATCCATTTGGCTCCGTAAGCCTTCCATGCCTGTAAGATCAGGGCTGACTTAATTTTGGCCTTAACGCCACTTTCCTGTATACCTCCGGAATCCTCGACTTCCTAGTCAATCAAGAATCCACCTAACCAGCGTTGAATATGTTCAATGATCCTGGTCCTTGTGGAAATCAATTCCAAAGACTAATGACACTGAGATCAGAAATTCCTTCTCATCTCCATTTCACACAGAACACTTATATCTCTAAACTGTGTTCCCTTGTTCTAGATACTCCCATGAGAAGAAGCATCTTCTCAGCCTCTATCCTGTCAAACCCCCTCAGAGTCCTGTTACATTCTATTAAGATCACCACTCACTGTTCTAAAATCCAATGAGTTTAAGCTCAAAATTTCCTCAAAAGACAATCTGTTCATCCCAGGAAGCAACCTAGTGAACGTTCTCTGGCCTGCAGCCCATGCAAAAATGTCCCTCTTTAAATAGGGAGATAACATTGTCACAGTACCCAATTTCAGCCAGTGGTAGTCAGCTTTTAGTATATTCACATAATCCAAAAAGGAAGGAATTCATTAGCTGAATAACTCAGTAAATCAGGACCTCATGTGCATTCTTTCCTTGTATTGCCTCTATTTGTATCAGAGCTAAGTGCTAACTGTTCTGCTTTTGAGAATTGAGAGATGAAATCTTTATCAAGTCAGTTGTTGCTATAAAACTTTGAAGGAAAATAGTTGCAATAACAAAAATATTAATCTGCTGCACTGTACAAAAGTGTCCAACATGCAAGCAGATATATGCAACTGATCATACTGGGAGAGGTAAAGTGATCATTTCAAGTTCAATGCCCACATTACATTGTATAACAGCAAGCAGAGATGCAAGCAGTCACTGGGTATTGCTTGCTTATCATCTTTCAAGAGGGCAACAGAGTGATTGATATCAAGATTTGGGGGTCATTTAAACAAAATTAAAAGTGCTTACTAGAAAGAAAGGAAAACGATTGCTTCAAATTAGGTTGGAGGGTTTGAGCTATAGGGGGAGGTTGAATAGGCTGGGGCTATTTTCCCTGGAGGGTTGGAGGCTGAGGTGTGACCTTATAGAGGTTTATGAAATCATGAGGGGCATGGATAGGGTGAACAGCCAAGAGCTTTTTCCCTAGGGTAGGGGAGTCCAAAACTAGAGGGCTTACAGTGAGAGGAGAAAGACTTAAATGGGATCTAAGGGGCAAATTTTTCACACAGAAGGTGGTGCATATATGGAATGAACTGCCAGAGGAAGTGGTGGAGGCTGGTACAATTACAACATTTAAAAGGCATCTGGATGGGCACATGATTAGGAAGGGTGAGAGGGATATGGGCCAAATGGCTGGCAAAAGGGACTAGATTTATTTAGGATATTTGATCAGCACAGACAAATTGGACCGAAAAGTCTGTTTCTGGGCTATACATCTCTATGACTCCATGTAAAGCCACTGTACCCATGGCTTACCCAGGTTCCAGAGCTTCACCTTGGATCAACCTCAGGCTACGAAAGAATGACAGCGACACCAAAGCATAGGAGCTACGAATCTTCAGGTACCCACTGATCACCTCGATGAGGCCCAGGTTTGCTTCCAACTCTGCTGCAATGTTAGCTGAAAAGGCACATAAGAAATTAGGATTTTCTCGACTTCACAGTGCTACCACCACACAAACAACAGGAGTGCAAGTTGGTATAGGTTATACAGCAGCACTAAAGCTGTGGGACTTCAGAGGAACATAGCAGAGTAGAATTTCCCAAACTTTATTCATAGAGAAAGTAGGTTCTCCTATAAACTTGAGACAAAAGAAAAGAATGTAAGGAACTAGAAGCACAACGAGGGAGAGCAGTAAGACAACAAAACAGTCCTCATTCGGATTCAGTGTTGCAGGGAGCAGGTGGAAAAGAGAACATGAGAAATAATAGGTGGAGAAATAAAACAGAAAAAGGGAGCAAAGGCCTGGAGAGAGCAAGAAAGAAAGTGATTGATATTGTGAACTTAGAGGCTGGTGGCTTGCACGCCAAAAGATTTGGAGAACATTGCATTCTACAGATTGACTCAATTAGATGAGAAAAGAGGGAGAGGGGGCAGGGGAGGGGCAGGGAAGGGAGAGGGGAGAGGGCAGGGGCAGAGGGCAGGGGGAGGGAGGGGGCGGGGGGAGAGGGAGAGGGAGAGGGAGAGGGCGGGGGGAGAGGGAGGGGGAGAGGGCAGGGGGAGAGGGAGAGGGAGAGGGAGAGCGCGCAGGTGGAGAGACAGAGCGCGCAGGTGGAGAGACAGAGCGCGCAGGTGGAGAGACAGAGCGCGCAGGTGGAGAGACAGAGCGCGCAGGTGGAGAGACAGAGCGCGCAGGTGGAGAGACAGAGCGCGCAGGTGGAGAGACAGAGCGCGCAGGTGGA